ATAATATGTACTGTAACAGGTATCATCATATTTGGTAATTTTATATATTATCATAATACATCCAAACCAGTCTAAAGATATGTTACATCTCCACTTCAGTGTTGGTTGACATTGGTGAACTGGTTAAATGGCAAAAATATATGTGGTAATGACAGTATTCAAACAACAAATGAAATCTTCAGCAGGTTCAAGCAACACAGAGAGATTACTTTGCTCATTTATAGCCTCCAATTGTTTTAATAATTTTTTGATAGTTCTCTGCCTGCAAACCTCTGAAAGACTGTCCTAAGCATTCTTAATTTGATTTTCTTTTTTGTCTATTCATGTATGTTTGGAATTTAGCAAAATGTAACATACTTCAGTTGTATCTGACAGCTAGAAAAGAGTAGGCATTTTATCAAGCTTCTGTGTTATTTAACTATAGCTCTTTGATGTTTCAAAAAAAAACAAATAATCCTTGCTTCCTTATATTATATATAATTCCTTTAGAACCAAGCCCCACCTATTGGTCAGATGATCAATAACATGGCAACAGAAGAAAATGATATAAAAGAAACATTAAAACAATGTAAAAGGCCCAAAGGAGGTAGGTAGGAGAATATAGCTAGGTTAAAGAAAGTTTCAGGCCATCCCTGGTGACAATGTTCTTTTTTGGTCTTGATCTGTCATCACAAAAGAAAAAAAAAAGGTTCTTATTATTTTTAAAGCAAACTTCATTCTTCAGCATAGAGACAATATCAGATGCCAACTATGCAATCCAAAAAAGCAAATATAATGAGGAATTTTTACAAAATACAGCAGTTCAGTGACTCTCTTAATGGAGGCTCTATTTCCAGAAGTGAAATTTATAATTATTAGAATGCATAATTTACCAATATACATGACAAAAATATTTTTAAAATATTACTAACATAGAAAATATAAATCATTAAGTTAGCAAAGTGTCAAAACACATGGGATCCATGACTGGTTTGGCTTAGTGGATAGAGTGTCGGCCTGAGGACTGGGGGGGGATCCCTGGTTCAATTCCGGTCAGGGGCACATGCCCAGGTTTGGGGCTCAATCCTGGTGTGGGGCGTGCAGGAGACAGCCGATCGATGATTCTCCCTCATCATTGATGTTTCGATCTCTCTCTCCCTCTCTAAAATCAATAAAAATATTTTTTTAAAAACACACACACACACATGGAAAAAGTCACAGAGTGGAAAGTAACCTCCAAAGGTCATCAACCACAAGTTGTTAACTCTCAGATCCAAGAAAAAAAAATTATTCCACCATCAGGCTTGGTGGAAGGGGACTTCTTTTTTGGCTTTTGAGAGGGAGAGACTATAAAAATTCAATGTAGAATTAGAATCATGTCATTGTAGACAAAAGTTAAATTTTATTGTACTAATGAGATATTCTAAATATTATCTACTACTACAGATCAATTTTATGTTTAAAACATAAGGTGAAATGTGCAACTCAGACTAAATCAGTGTATAATGAAAAACAATAGTGTATATATAGATAATGAAGGTATCATGGAAGCTGGTTAAATTTTATAATGAAGAGAAAACTAGTAAGAATATAGCAAGCTAGCTGAAATTGATATTCATTAGGGTACTCTTCACATCAATAGGGAGCATTTGGACTCTGTGGTCTTTATCAGTGTCCCAGCTGGTAATGGTTGAAGGTTAATGCCTTACCCCATTCTGTTCAATTTTCTATCCTAATTAGCCCTCCAAATCTATAGCTGTGAGCACCAAGTGTCTGTGCTCAAAAGAAACTAATTAATGCTAGCAAATTAGATCAAGTCCAAAGATCCAACAGCCAAACTCTTAGTTAAATGCTCCTTGTTAATAGGAAGTGTAGCTGTCAATAACTGCTGTTGGTGACTATAATGAGGCATCTTGCTTTCATTGAAAGTGATTTCATTTCTCTTTGTCCCTCAAAAAGCTGTTCCATTCCCTTCACAAACCTAAGTTGCTGGCAGCCTGACCCAATTCTTATGATCAACTGGGTTGCAATGACATGAGGAAAAAAAAAAATCAAACAGAAAAGCTTTCCTACATAATCATGTTTCAGGCATTTAGCAGAAAGTCAGATCACTTATTAAAATTCCTATATCTTTATCTAAGAACTATACAATGCGTAATGCTTTTATATAAAATCCTGTAATTATTTAATAAAGCAAAGTTGATAAATAGTAAATAAATTACAATGGAAGTATCCTGATTCTAATTTGCATCTTGTTCAGTTTAAATGTAGCTGTTGCTCAGACGCTTAAGTAATACCAATGTATGTTCTTTCCTAATTCACAAGGTTAAACAGGAAGAATACTAAGGATTATTCCTTTACAAAGTAATCAATTTTAGATTGTAAAACACTGTTTTGGACCATATGGCCTAAAAAAAATCAATATATGATTATCTATAAAATTTCAATTGTTAAAAAATCAATTGTTATAACATATTCTAATAATTACAAATGCATTGAAATAACCCAAGTTTTAAGATGCTTTCAATCTTCAGAAGATTTTAAGTATGTCAATAAGAGAAACTGAACCATGTCAACAGCCTAAACAATGTAATTTATGAAGAAGCAAAAATTAAACATTTTTTTCTGTACCATTACAAAGTGGTAGTTGTGGAACACAAACAAATAAATGATTTAAACTATACTCTCCTACATTTCAAAAACAAAGTTTCATCATCTACGAGTAAGAAAAGACAGTTCTATAACCCAAAGCCACACAATCATTCTGCATTTTCATCTGAATCATGGGAGTAAAAAGTCAATCTATCACTCTAGATATCAAATTAATGTGTTACAAGACTGCATAAATACAACTCATATTTATAACTTTAGACCAGTAACTTATTAAATTTTCCTGGTAGTGAAAAGTTAACCCTAACACTATAACTTTATTATCCATTTTTAAGTTTTAACCTCCCCACCTGAATCAGGATATATATATATATATATATATATATATATATGTGTGTGTGTGTGTGTATATAATATATATATATGTTAAAGTTCTATGAGGCAAGTGGAGGATTAGCTCTTGAGACTATCAGCATAACTGCCAGTGCCAGATGTGCACTGAACCCTGCCTGTAGGTGCCAATGAGTTAATTTTCCCTGACACATGGGGGGGTGGGTGTAAAAGGAAAGTGCTCTGATTAAACAATTAATTCATAATGAAAGCACGAGTAATACCATGGAATGACACTAATAAATTATTGGTAATTTATAAACAAATTTATTTATAAACTAGATGTCCAGTGCATGAAATTCGTGCATGGGTAGGGTCTCTAGGCCTGGCTGGTGATCAGGGCCACTTGGGGCCTTCTGGCCGCCAGCTGGGGCCTCCCTTCCCCGGATGCCGGCCGGGGCCTTCCTTTGTTCTGCGCCGCCCCCTGGTGATCAGCGCATGTCAAAGCAAGCAATAGAACTCCCGGTCTCCTGGTCTATCTCCCACAGGGACACTTTGCATATTAGCCTTTTATATATATAGATGGATTTAATTTAAATCTAATTTATAAATGAAGTTAAACTGGAATATGTCCTAATAAGTCATATAAGAAACAGAAATGACCATCATACAATGTTAGTTCTGAGGAACTATTCTTTTTTACTGCCTCCATCCATTAATCGCAAAGGTCATTCTCTAAGGAGAGACATCAGAGGAAAGGAAATATTCCCAGCATCCAAAGTCCCAAAACTACAGTTGACACAGCCTGGCTTCCCTGTAGAGAAACCTGTAGTGAAGTGGCAGCGCATCACTCTGCTAAGAGTTACTGTGGTCCATCAATGAAGAAGACTACAGGGGAAAGTGAAGAAGGGGAGCCAGGAAAGTAGCCTACCTTAGCAAAATTTTACTACTTTTTCTTTTAGCTGGCCATTCTAAGAGTTAGATTATTTTTAAAAGACATTTCTACAATAATACTGCCAACTGACTTTTTAATAATTTATAGCCTCATTTTTCACCTTCCACTGGTTTGCTTACATTTTTTACCATGTTACATATTAATCAACAATACATCTCTAGGTTTATAGAATATAGCAATATTCTATTAAAAATATTTTAAAACATTCTCCAAAGAAAACATACGTATGTGGGTGCGTAGTACATCCATTTTCAGGGGCGGGGAATGTCTAGCCCAAGGGCCATATAAGGCCAGTGAAATCATTTAGTTTTGGCCCTGCCGAGGCATTGGGGGTAAGGTAATTAATGTTTGACCAAATATAGCAGGCTAATGTTTAAGTTGATAATTTTGTATGGCCTGAGAATCTACAGTAATAAAGGCATAATATGCTAATTAGACCAGACAGCCAAACATCCTTCTGGACAACCTTCTGGATGAAGCCGGGGCTGCAAGGGAAGACTGGGTCCCTGGTGCCAGAGGGAAGCCAGTGCCGGGAGGAAGGCCTACTCTTGCACAAATGTCGTGCATCAGGCCTCTAGTAAAGTTATAAATATCCAAATGGCCCTAGGCAGAAAAGGTCCCCCCCATTTACATAAATAGCTTCTACTCATCAAGATAAAACATTAAAAAAAAAACAACAGACTCATAATAAGTACTATGGAATTCCATGAACAATTCAGCAATAAACAATGACACCAAAGAAAATCATCTTGGAATATATTCCCGTATGAATATGTTGACAGATGAAAAACAGGTACATGTTTTATTTTATGTTTCTTCTTGCTCTATCAAAACCACCACAATGACTTGTTTCTCCAAAATACTCATACTAAGTCTCTATACGTAACTATACTTCTGGGAGGGAAAAAGCGTTTTTTACTAATAAGTTGAGGGAATATTTTTAAATTGTAAATGAATTCAATATTATCTGGAAGTTCCAAAAGCTGAAACCCTGGTATCTCAGTGAAAGGTGAGAAACAATTCATACATATTAATTCATTGACTACTTGACTCTAAGGCTAAGGATTAAATTCAGATCATATTATAAAAAATGTATTTGATCTTTATATGAATATTTGAATATTACCTTGAACTTGTTCAGAACATCTCTCTCGGGCCTTTTCTCTCATTATTTTAGGGATCAAAACATCTTTTTCAACATGTCTGAGATGCTGCTCTGAAAAAAAAAGGAGATATTTCTTTAATATAGGAAAGTCTCAAGTAAATCACCTGTTTGGGGGGGGGGGAAATAAGCACTGTGGTTTACTTAAATAAAAGCCTATGCAAATATGTTAAAAACTGTTTTATAACTTCATAAAATTGTGATTATTTCAGTCACTAAAAATCATTCCAAATAATTTTTATATACAGCAGAAAAAAATTTAAGACATAGGCAACATCTTTCTAAAATTTCCGCAAACTATATTGTAGCACTTATAACATATTTCATGTAATCTTGACAAAACTAAGTCATAGACTAAAATATCAGAATTTTTCTTATTAATATAATCCACAAGAGGAGTTTTATCAATACTAAGATCCAAGGATAGATGATGATGATGTTTATCGGTAGTGAGATCCAAGATTAAGAGACACACGAATAATGTATTTAGTAATAAGAGTGGTTTAAGAAAGCCAGAACTGGCAGAAGAAAAAGTGGAACTATTATGTGCATAAAAAAAAAAAAAAGCAAAAAGCCTGTGAGATTTCTGTGCATTTTAAACACAACTTCCACAATTAGACTAAAGTGGTAGACTGCGCAGAGTCCCACCTGCTCCTTAAATTCCTAGAGTCCTGAAAAACAAATGGGAAGTGCCCTGGCCAGGTGTTTCGGTTGGCTGGAGCATTGTTCATACACTGAATGGTTGCCGGTTTGATTCCCGGTCAGGGCACATGCCTGGATTGCAGGTTTGATCCTGGGTCGGGGCCTATTGAGGAGGCAACTGATAGATATTTCTTTCACTTCCATGTTTATCTCTCTGTCCCCCTTCCTCTCTTTCTAAAATTCAATAAAATCATGTACTCGGGTAAGGATTAAGAAAAGAAGAAAATAAATAAATAAAAACAAATGGAAAGTGTCCTCAGGGAACTAGAATGATCAAGAATCTCTAAACGACAAAAGGCAGATGAGTTCAGATTCCAGGAAGTAGTGTTTCCCCACAGTTTTCCCCAGGAAAAAACTGCTATGACAAGTGGGTGTTGCTCCATGCTCAGAAGCAGCAAAAATGGGGAGCAAAAGACTTCCACTGAGGAAACTAAAGTTTTATTGGTTGAAATACATGAGTAGGAGCCAAGTGAGTCACATCTGCTACTGCTTTCAGACCATGAATAAAAGAAGTAAGTAACGGGTAATTATCCCCAAAAGTTCATCAGCAAGTTTCCCAGTATCTAATACCCCCTAGGAAGACCAGATAACCCTAAACTCTTCCTGGTAATATGTGGTCACCAACAATCTCTAAATGCAGGTAGCTTAGAGAGGGTGACGGGGCATATCAAAAAGCAAACAAAAACAAAACAGCCAAGAATCACCTTAATTTGATGAAGGACAACACACTGTAATTAATCAAGAAGTAACCAACTCGTAAGAGAGTTCAAAGCGTAAGGAAAATCCTATTTTAAAATTCGTATGATAAATATACTGAAACAAATTAAAAGACATGAGTCCTCGGACAGAAATGGACTGTAGATTACTTACACGCACTTAGATGAAATCTCTGAAACTCAAAAATCCTGAAAGCTTCAAAAGGGAAAATACATTTCCCACACAAAGGAATGAGAATCAGATTACATCATGTTTCCCTGGCAAGACCTGGATGCAATAATGGAGAAGTAACTTCAAAGTTCTAAGAGAGATTACTTTACATCCAAGAATTGTAGAGCCAATTAAGAGTGAAGTTAAAGATATTTTCAGATGTGTAGAGTCTGAAGTTTACCTCCTTCAAACTCTACTGAAAAAGAATGTATCCCTACTGCTGTGTGACAAGCCACGAATCGAACTCAGTGATGTAAAACGCTGCATAGGGATCCAAAAGGTCAGGAATTCAGAAAGGCAAAGCAGAATAGACTCTTCTCTGCTTCACAGTGTCTGAGGCCTCATCTCAGTAGACTCAAATGACAGGTGTTGATTTCAATAGCTGCAGAAGCTGGGGCTAGAGCAGGGGTGGGCAACCTTTTTGTGAGTGCGTGCCAAAACCAGCAAAATCTCTGACTCAAAATTCTTCTGCGTGCCAACCCTAATTTTTTGAGAACATGTTACGCCTACTTGATATCTCTTAATGTGTATGTATGTGAAGAACCTTGAAGAAATAATAAAATTCATTCGAGTGACAGAAACACAGTATATGATGATGAAAAATACATTTATTTTTTAATGTATACATGTACACTGATAGTCCGACAGAAAACTTTATGACTCCGTTTGATATCATCAGTGGGACTTTTGAGGAACAGAGAAACATAGAAATTTATTCCCCTTTCGTTAGTACCGGTGGGCAAAGCGAGAGAGGTTTCATTTTTATAGAGTGAATTTTTGAATAAGTAGGTGAGGCAGTTGTCTTGTCAACGAAAACCCGTTGCGTCTGAGGCTGAAACCAAAACACTGGTCGGATCTAGGAAGGCAGGGAGAGTTAAGGCAGAGGCATAGAAATTGCTCTTCCCCTCTCTCGTCAATCCATGTCTATGGTCTGTAAGATAACTTGTTATGTAAAATTATTTATTTATCTAAGATGCACCCACACTGAATTTATCTGAAAAATAAAAAAGTCGATATTAAGAAAAAAATTGTAAATGGAAGATTATAAGAGAGGGTTTCGCGTGCCAGCAAAAGTTACTGGCATGCCATGTTTGGCACGCGTGCCAGAGGTTGCCCACCCCTGGGCTATAGGATTTACTTCCAAGATGCCTTCTTTCTTCAGTATGTATGTGACAACTGGGCTGAAGGAATGGCTGAAGGACAGGCTCATTGAGGACTGTAAGTCAGAGCACCTATGCATGGCCACTCCATTTGGTTTGGCTTCTCACACAGGGCAGGTAAGTTATGAGAGGGGCAATCTGCAAAGAAATGGCTAGAGGGTAAGTCTTCCAAGATAACCCAGAAAAAGCAGTATGGCCTTTTCTGACCATGTCATGGAAGCCATGCAGCATCTTTCTAGCTACATTATATTGATTTCAAATCACTAAGGGTAGCCTATATACTCAAGTGGGGGGAATTAAGACTCCATTCTTTGTGGCAAGACCACATCACAGAGAGCATGAGGGATGGAAGATAATGTCGTGACTTTCTTTTGCAAAATAAAATCTGCCACAAGAAGTAACAGAGAATATACTCTGATAAAATAAAAATGAATCCATGATGTGCGAATGCAAAATATATAAAGCAGATTAGAAAAACAGACATTTAATTTACATATTGAAACTGTAAAGTATTTGAACAACATCATCAACTAACGACCTAACATTTATAAATACTCCACTAAGTGGGGTGAACTATGAAACAAATCTCAATAAACGTGAAAGAATTTACCATACACCTTACCAAATGACCCAGCAAACATACTCCTCAGGATTTATCCTAAAGAAATAAAAACTTAAGTTCACACTAAAACCTGTATATAAATGTTCATTGCAGTTTATTTGTAACAGGCAAAACATGAAAATAATCCAAAAGTCCCTCAACTGCTGAATGGATCAACAATGTTTCATCCAGAAAATGGAATATTACACTCAATAAAAAAGAATGAAACTACTGGTATATAACAGCAGAAACTTGGATGGACCTCAAGGGTGTAATGCTGAATGAAAAGAAGATAATCTAAAAAGTTATTTATTCTATGATTTCACTTACATAAGATTCTTTTTTTTTGGTACTAATTCTTTTTAAAATATATATATTTTTATTGATTTTACAGAGGGAGAGATATAGAAACATCAATGAAGAGAGAGAATCATTGATCGGCTGCCTCCTGCATGGCCCCCGCTAGGGATCGAGCCCATAACCTGGGCATGTGCCCTTGACCAGAATCGAACCTGGGACCCTTCAGTCCACAGGCCAACACTCTATCCCAGTGATGGCGAACCTATGACATGCGTGTCAGAGGTGACATGCGAACTCATTTTTTTGGTTGATTTTTCTTTGTTAAATGGCATTTAAATATATAAAATAAGTATCAAAATATAAATCTTTGTTTTACTATGGTTGCAAATATCAAAAAATTTCTATATGTGACACGGCACCAGAGTTAAGTTAGGGTTTTTCAAAATGCTGACACGCAGAGCTCAAAAGGTTCGCCATCACTTTTCTATCCACTGAGCCAAACTGGCTAGAGCAAAGATTCTTAAAGTGACAAAATTAGTGATGGGAACAAATCCCTGGTTACCAGTAGATAAGAGTTGAGGAAGTAGTATAACTTATGACTTACTGGCAACATGAAGGATTTCCTTTGTAATGATATAACAGTTCTGTATGCTGACTGTGATCATGGTTACTTGAATCTTCACATGTAATAAAATGTCATATAACTACACAAACACACACACACACACATGCACACAAGTACACATAAAGAGTGGTAAAATTTGATGGTTGAGGATCGACACATGAATCAAGAGGTCACCAGTTGGATTCCAGTCAGGGCACATTCCCAGGTTACAGGCTCTATTCCCAGTAGGGGGCCTGCAGGAATCAGCCTATCAATGTTTCTCTCTCATTGATGTTTCTATCACTCTGTCCCTCTCCCTTCCCTTCTCTCTAAAATCAATAAAAACATTTATTTTTTTAAAAGTGGTAAAATTCAACTCAGATATGTACCTGAGTTAACAGTATATTAATGTCAGTTCCTGGTTTCCTTAGTTACACTGAATTATAGCAGTATGTCCCAACCCTTTCACCATTTTGCCCCTAAAGGAGCTTTTTCAGACATTATTTCCTAATCCCCCCTGAAATGTTACTATCACAGATACACTGTATATCTGTTCATATACTGTATGTATAATAGTGCTTTTATACATTAAAAAGTGATTTTTAATGTATAATGATTTTCAATCTTTGCTCCATTAAAAGCAGTATCATGCTCACTGAAGACATGTACTATGATTATTTAAGATAGTATCATTAAGGAAAGCTGGAGAATACAGACACTGAAATTGCAATAATTTGCAGCATGATTTGTTTAAATTATG